TGAAAACCAAAGCACACAAGACTCTGGACTTTGATCCAGCCGCACGAAGCAACGGGTGGCAGCAGGGGTTGTTGGCCGAGGGGTGGTGGTGTTGGGGGGGTTACAACCGACATTCCAGCTGAGAAAACATGATAAGAGAGGAGAAAACTGATGCAAAATCATCAGATGATGGCAAACTTCTCTTAACATTTTACTTCCTTTTGCATAGTTTGTTTGAGGTCTATAATGTTTTTGTATAAAGTCACACCACAAAGAAATGTGTTTGAGGTGTTGCCTTAAAATCAGAAGCTAACAAAGTCATTGCATCATCATCATCATCATCATCAGGGATTACAATGTTTTTAAAGAAATGGCGATCTTAGTGTATGTAAACGTCTGACTCTGAAGAAAGCAAAAAGAAAAATGCTCCTTCTTGCTCATTATTTAGGCATAATAGAAATATTAATCTTAACTGACCTAAAACAGGAACAAAGACAAAATAGGAATCTGATTTAAAGCAGCAGTAGATAAGTTTTACAAAAATGTTTTGTTTTTTTTTTTTGCATTTTTCTAAAACATATAATATGTGACAGTAAGTCTGTGGAGAAAAATGAAATAAAAACTGATCTCCTCTGCCTCCTCCCTGTGGTCCTACTGCCATCTCCAGAAATGTATCGCTCCCAGTCAGAAACAACCAATCAGAGCCAGAAGGAATGACAAACACATGCGTGTAAGCGCTGCTCACACAGCACATACAACCTCAAGATTGCCGGTTTGCTTCAACTGTGCTAATGGAGAAACAACCTAACATTACAGAAAAGCTATTCATCTGCTGTCATTGCTGGCCATGCTAACTAGTCTGAGCACTGATGTCAGGTTACGGTGTGAAGGAGGAGCTGCAGCACAGCAGGAGGGAAGGGGAAAAACTATTTATCCATTGATGGCTGCAGATAAATAGTTTTCCTAACATTAGATGGTTTCTCCACCATTAGCAGCAAAATCAGAAATCTTGAGCTTGTACACACTGTACAGGAGGAAGAGTGTGAGCAGCATGTACCTGAGTGAGACTGTACTAAGACCCTCCTCTGGCTCTTACTGGTCATTTCTGACCAGGAACATTTTTATAAAAGTTACATATGCTGCAGCTTCAATGTCAGACAATAACGGTGTATTATTTTTCTGCATCATATCCAAACTTCTTGTTTACACTGTTATTAAATAAGTTTAGTAATAATTTCCAAGTGGTAACTGCAAGAAATGTTAATTGTTTTTACCATCAATACATTCAGAAAAACAAACTTAACAAGTGGTTAGGTTTGGAATCTGTCTTTAAGCCTGCTGATGGGCAGTGTACAGCAACAGTTGGGAGGGGTTAACTCACTGATATGTTGAACCGGAGAAACCTCTGGCTTATGTCTAATTCATACAAAATAATGCATGTAGCCTTGATTAGGGTTGGGCAGTGAGAACATAAAATGGAGCGAGAGCCCCAACTTTAGAAGATCACTGAAGCAGAAATGTGAAAAACTGGGTTTCTGGCTCAGCTGACGCATTGTTCCAAGCCATGCTCTTGTTATTTAGCAGCTGAACAGAAGAAAGGAGAACGGTGTAGCGCCTGCAGGGCTACATTCACAATGCAGAAACACCAACATACTGGGTACACATAACCCCACCTAAAAAGGACAATGTAAGACTACAAGCAAAAAATGCATAATGAATGCTTTGTCAGACTTTGTGAATGGATTAGATGCATTATTCATAATTTTTTAAATATTAGTGGCAGAGTAAATATAGTTAGTTTAATCGTCAGTCCGTGCCAAAACTCCTCTTGTAATGGATGTTTAAGGAAGATCTACGATGTAATAATATGCAATTTGCAACGCTGTCAGAGATCCACTCATTAAAATTCCTCTCAGAACTGCTGTCAAACCCACTGTGTTCGGGCCAGGAAGCTGTTCTTTAATGAATAGAGGAAGGCCTGAAAGGAGGACGGGGGAGAGAGCCATTCAAGCCAAAACTGGGCTTGTTTTTGGTCAACTTTCTCCAGCACTCCTCCCTTTTCAATCAAATGTAGCTTTACAAGGAGAGGAAAAACTAAAAGTACACAATAAGAACAGGAAAAGCAAGGCAAAACACATCCACTGTAGACGTGCGATGATGTAACATCAAAGTACACACAACAACATGTTAAGAAAGAGAGAGAAGAACAAAATAGAGGCCTGTGGAGATCCACAGAAGTAGGCATGAGTGATTTTACTGGTTAGTTCTGGGCCAATGCATTTAGCATGTCCCTAAATGACCTTCCTCATATCATAGCATTTATGCTGTAAAATTCTGTAGAAATGTACAGCATTGTCTAAGTTAATAGCAACACTATAATTGTGCATATTCTTTGCATTTGAAAAGGTGTATTTCAGCCAGCTGAGGTAGGGAGGTGGGGGCAGCACTGCATTCATCATACAGCCAGAGAAAACTTCAGAGAGCAGAATGGCACGTCATAAATCTTGGTAACTAGATCATGCCTTTTTGGCAAGTTTATTTAATACAGACATGTTAAAACTTAGTTTATTACTCAACACTATGACTCAAATGGCAGGAGACAACAAGGTCTGAACAGACACAGAGAGAAGTGTCTCAAAGTACAAGTTCATGTGCTTTACATTTTAATTTAAAGCATATGTCGTAATAAGCAATAAATCAATTAATCAAATGATAAATTAAAACAATATCTAATTTCCATTTGCATAGTTTGTTTTTCTTGTATTTCTCTGTTTCTATCTACCAAAGACAAAAGGCTTCAGTCTGGTGCACGGGTCTCGAACCTCTTTTTGAAGGGCAATTTTATTTACAGAGACTTCAGGAACCACTTTATTTATTGTTTCGGTTGTTTTATTTATTTATTTTGGATATTTAAATCATCTTCCAATTTCAGTGTTAAGTCTTCATTAGAAATTAATGAACTTTAATGAACACTTTGCATAATAATGCAAGGGTGTACTTGCTTTATTATTCCATTACCTTTATATTACTGCAAACACCAATATTATTGTTTATTGCAGTAACTTCTGGGACAAATTATCGCTAAGCAAAATGTGTTATTGTGACAGGCTTAAAACTATCACAGGCACATGAGTGGCACAGATGTGCAGATGGTTAAAGAAGAGTTGGGATATGAAGTTAGTTGTGAAAATCTCACTGCAGACTTTTCTGTGCATCATCTGAACATAATAATAATAATAAAAAGAGTTTGGATCGACTGCAAAGCTATCAAGACATGGTCATTCATATGTCCCAGTCAAAGTCCAGACCTACATCTAACAGCACATTTGTAGTACGACAAGAAAATCATTGTTCACACTTACTGACCAGACTTATTTTGCAAAAACGAATGTGCAAACATTTCTGTCTCTAGATAGGAAAATCTGAAAAAGCTCATAGCCCATAGATGCAAAAGCAAAATATTGACTCAGGGCAGCTGAGATGGCAAATGCATCCTCCATTTTGCAGCTTACAGGAAACAGAAAAATATGCAACATGTTCTTCTTATGTCACACTTCTGCAACTATATGGTGGCCTGTTTATGCCATGAAATACCAACACATTAGAAAATTGTGGTTATAACAAAAAACGGTGAGACTGTTCCAGGGCTATGAATGCTGTGAGACGTTTTACAACGGTGTGAAATTTTGACAGCAAGCAGTAGATTTGTGACAGCAGTGTGATACATGTTCCTTATTTTTGTTTGCATGTTCTCATCAGCTTAGGGACAGAGCAGTACATGTAGAGCTCTTCCTCTATCCATGCACATGTGGGGCAGCCAGAGAACTAGACAATTACATAACAACATCTGGATTTCCAGGGATTATCTGAAATCATGAGATGTAAACAACTTAAAAAATGGATGTGGGGTTAGGAGTCAAAAAGGTCAAGTTTGTGTTGGAGGAAAAAAAAGTTTTTTTGTTTTTTTTTTTGGTAACCTTCAGATCACACCTACAGACGAAGCAGGATGCAGTCACATAAATGTTTTTCAGGAAACGAAAGTACAAAAATGAGTAATGTTAATATTAAACAACTGCTAGTTTTTCTCCATGCGAGAAAAATACACTTCCCTGAAGTCAACAGCTTCATGCACTGCAGTTCATCATCCCTACCGTAGCTGCAGAGTGAGGCATGCACAGACAAACAACCCAACAATAGCTCGGCCACCCAGTGAATGAGCAGGCGCTGTATGTATCCGAACTGGATTACCAGACTGATTCACAACCATCTGGCCAGAGCAGGAAGCCTACTTACCGCGTCCTGTTGCGGAGAAATATCAGTTTTATTAGCGGGTGAGTGTAATTGACCAGCCCGTTCTTGGATATGCTGGTGACCCGGAGTCTGTGATCCAGTATTTGCAAGTCCATATTTCTTGCTAACGAGCAGTTCTCTCTCCGCTCGTCTTTTAGCTTTTAAAGCGTCTCTCTAGCTGGACGATGTCATTCAAATGTTATATATAGTCCTGAGTGAAGAGCATTACCGACGGATGTACACCCCCACGTCCCGCTAGGCTCGTCTCACAGGACGAAAAAAACATCCGACGAAAGCAGCCTCCCTGAACTACTGTATATTCAAATACATGGGGCCTGCCCTACGCGGACACGCCCCCTCCTGTTAAAGCTACAGGTCCACGCTTTTAAATGACTCGCACGTGCTTTGGAAAAGTTTGGATGAACGAGTAGAAATAACACTTCCGTACTGGAATTTCAAAATAAAGGAAATGTGGTTCCAGAAACAATACACACATTTTATTCACTTTATAAAATAGCAGCGTATACATAAATATATAAACTTTAGAGAGGAAGTAAAAATAAAGACCAAAGGGAACAATTTGTACTTGTGTTTGCTACCAATTTAAATATGTGTTTATCAACTCCTGTGCATTAAGTTGTTCAAAAATGAAGTTTCAACAAAAAGTATTCTGCAAGTTAAACTTGATTAATTTCCAGGTTATTAAAAAGAACAACGCTAACTTATTTCAAACAGTTCAGCTTTATTTATGAATGTACATTCAAGTGAGTTGCCGATGTTTTCAAAACGCCACAAAAGTCAACTTTTATTTTGAAAACTATTCATAATAGAAAGTACAAGTTTGCACATGTGGTTTCCAGATCTTTCTGCACATCTCAAACACTGAGATATGTTGATAATGAGGAGCACAGATATACTCTTTTACAAATCAGCATATAGTTCATATTCAAAGTTTTTCACTTTGAAAACTCACAGATTTTTTTTTTACACATTTATAATTAAATGTAAATGACACATACTGTGCCCCTTTCAATCTGGATAATTCCTTTTAAGCTTTGTCAGTGTTTTTAAAGCACGCTTTCCCAAATAATTGACAAGTTGTCTGGAAATACAGATATTCTGAAATATTTGTATCTGTAATCCTAACAATGAACCACTGTATAATTTTTAACAACTGGCTGGAGTGCACATAGGAAGATAGTGATGCAACACAAATCATTCAGCATGCCATTGATTAAGCTGTGGGGGAGGATGATGGTAAGTTTTAGTCATCGAGTTGCTTGTAGTTTTAGTCAACGTGTCACTGTAAAGGTGAGCTCTTGGTAGGAATCATTAATCTAGACTCCATGCTCCTCACCAAAGGCACTGAGAACAGACAGAGACACATATTATGACACAGGCCTTGATAAATTAATGGAGAATAGAATCTATTTAAATCAGCATTTTCTTTCATCATTTAAATGTTTATCACTACGGAACAAATTTTTGGAAGATAATGACTATGCCACTCACAGCCGTAGCAATGCTTAAAAAGATTTGGGTGCAAAAATTTGTATTACAAGGTGAAATTTATTTTTGTGGCCATCAAAATGTTTCTGATATAAGAAACATGTTGACTTGCATGTTTGGTATTATTGACCTAGAATAACACGTTACGTTCAGGTTTGAGATATATAGTATTGGATTTGAGGTGAAGTTGAAGAATTTGAAAGTGCATTCCTTCATTGTCATTCAGTACCCATTGTTCCACAGCCATCACCACTGGCTGAAAACCAGCTCCACAGCATGACTGTTGCCAGCTGGTACTATGGTTTTAGCTTTAAAATATTCCTTACTTTACTTTTGTTTTTTTCTTTTTTCCTCTCTACTTTAAACTAAAAATGACAACTTTATCATTTACAGTTCAAGGTAGAGAGTAATTCATAACGTTTTTTAAACAACATTTTTACCTCCATTTCCACTTCCAGTTGGCATAAATTGTTTGCTTTTTGTTGCAATTATATGTTTCAGGTCATTGAACAAATCTTAAGACTAAGTAGGGATAATTTGACAACATAAAATGTTTTTATTCTTAATGACAACTTCATTGAAAACAGGGAAAGACATCTGATTCAAAGCAACGTAGCGCTGTCTGAAAATGTAATTACATCCTAAACATAATAGCTGATGAACCAACCTATGTAGCATCAGCTGCTTCAAAGTGCTTGTGATAACTGACAATGAGTCTCTCCTTTTACTTTTGAGTAATTTTGCCCCACTGCACTTTGCAGAATTGTATTAAAGTTCAAACATTAACAGCTGTTTTAAGGTCATGAGACAGCATCTGAACCGGATTTGAGTTTAGACTTTGAACTTTGAGTAGGCCACTCCAAAACCTACATTGTGTTATTTTTGGACCCATCAACATCCTACCAGTTGTACTTCTGATGGTCCTGCTGCCTAACCTAAGCAAGCTTAAACTTTAAGTCATAAACTGTTGACCAGATGTTCATCTGCCGGATTTCCTGAGATAGGAGAATTTAATGGTTCAATTAGCAATGGCGAGTCATCCAGATCCAGAGCTGTAAAGCAGCTCCAGGTCATCTCACTACTTCCAACAGGTTTGATTCTGTGATGTATGATGTTATTTTTCTGAAATACTGTTTATCATACTCCACATTTAATAGAAATGAGCTTTCATTAATCTTGTGTCAGTTTTGGAAAAAACTGACACAATATTTTTTTTTTCTTATCACAAAAGACACCTTTGTAGATTGTATATTTTCACATGAATGTAAACTCACAAAACAGAAAAAAAAATTTGTTATCATTAGTAGTTTTTTTTTTTTTTTTAAAAAAGCATTATTGTTGCTGGACTTGTCTTACCTGTATAATACACATTAACATCCCAGCCCTCTTTCTGCCAGGCAGAGTTTCTTGTTTCCTCTCTAGATTGAAGGCTTTCATAAGCTATAAAAACATAAAACAATTACATTATGTGTGAGTGAATTTATAGTAGATTAAAAAATAGACATTTGTGCATTTAAACATTTTAAACAAAGAAAAAATTTCTCTTTTTTCTTATGATAACTGTAATAATCATACATATAATCCCACAAAGTAATATTTGGATCTGCTTGTCAAGGATTGTTGCAAAACACTCAAAAATATTCTTTGGTATTAGATATTCTGTTTACCACAGTGGTCATAACAGTGCATTACTTCTCTGCAACCTAAAAGTGTTTACATGCAGCTAAAAATGTATGCAGAATTTAGAGTCGCGGTTTATGATTCATGAGCTTAAAAGAAACATAAAGAATATCAAAGGATAATATCTATCAAGGAGGAACCAACAATTGTTGGTTTGTCCAAATTTGCAACATAGGTTTCTGCTATTGTCATGAGCCATAAGCAAGAAACTTAGAGAAATCCTCCTACTGTTAAGTTTTAGAAAAACATGGGCATTACTACTTATTATTACTAAGAAATGTCCAACTGCATAATAAAACAGAAGTGACTCTCATTCCATCTCAGTGTTTTGTCTTTAAGTTGATTTTATTTTTAAAGTTTTGAGTCATCCTGAGGAATAAGCGAACATTGCCATCAGAGTCTAACAGTATGCAAATTTACCCAGGACAAGCTTACAAATGCATTGGTTGAACGCATATTGGAGGAAACATTCAGGGTTTAAAAGTTACTCCTACAAAGCCAAATCCTAATGCTTAATCAATTATTTATGTCTGAGCTTGGGTCACATATAATGTGACCCAAGTGTAACTGTTTGTAAGTTGATCTGTGAGGATATGCCTTTGGTTCCACGGTTGCTTGTAAACAAAATATTAAGCATTATCTATCCTCCCCAGCTGTCTGAAGTCTGTGATAAGCGAGATGGGCTTAGCTCAGATCTACAGATTTGACCTTCAAGCCACATAAACCTGGTAATTGTCCTAAAACTGCCTGAGGCAGTCAACAGTAAAATATAGAATGAAACATTCATTATGTCAGAGGTTCCCAAACTGTGGGGCGCGCGCTGTGTCATTGCAGGGGGGGCGCGGGAAGCCGTCTGGATGAAAAAAACAAAACATGAACACTGTATGCGCTGGGTTTTTACCTTAGAATGGCCAACTCCGTTATTCCTATGTCAATTTGATACAGTAGAGGCTTCCACACTTCCCATATTTGTGTCCTCTGTCACTTTTATCAGCAGTTAAAACTGTTTAATCTACTGTTAACATGTTGTAACCTGTTTTTCCGAGCCGCCTTTAAACGCAACATGAGCGCTACGACGCTCGGGCTGGGTTTCCACCTGTGAAGGAGACCTGCTGCTGCTGGGCGGAGCTACGTAGGTTTGTGTTAGAATCACGGCAGCAAACCAGCAAAACGCAAAAAACTTTTCACAGTTTTTCCCTCCAAACTAACCGACTGAGTTGAGTAAAGCTGTTGGATGCAGGTAATGTTAGCTAAACGATGACTAGCTAATATCAATACAGAACCTTAAGCTTAACAAGCTTAACAAGTACCTTGTAGGCTACCGATGTTGGTGTCTATTTTCAGCTACGTACATTCATTTTGCCCCCAAAAATGTCGATGCCCCCCCGCACCCCCCACGTTTCAACCAGTCAGCCATTTGTAATCCATAGGGGGAGCGCAGAAAATGTTTGAAAACCACTGGGGGGGCGCAGAAGAAAAAGTTTGGGAACCACTGCATTGTGTGTTTTTTTTTTTTGCAGTTCAAATATTTCCCTGCCTTTTGGATTGAGTCTCACTCAGTGTAGCTGACTCAGCAGATAGTGTCAAGCATACTTAAGATCATGGAAATTGTTGGATGTAATAATATCAAAACTGACTTTCCTAAAATTGTGCAGCTGTGTGCTTGAGTATTTATTCACTGAAGTCAAAGGTATAATGAATCCATTTCATGGAGAACAAACTGCTGTTCTCAATGATTACGGTTTAAATGAACATGATCAGGTACAATACATAGTGATATACAAAAACATGGAAAAAAAATTGTTTTAAAATTAAAAAAAATATTTTTCCAAAAAATAACTACGCCCAGTCACATAACAAAAGTTCACAAACACTCAGCTGGCAGTGTGGCGTGTTGCTCCTTAGTCTGTTGCAGTGATCACTGACACCAGTAGCCTTTAAAATTATATTTAAAATTTATAATCAAATTTGGATATTTTTGGAAATAATCAAGTTCAACCAATGATCTGACCCTCAACAACATTCATAGTTATTTATATAGTCATCTTGGAAAATTGATTGTTCACTCCTCGTTTGGTTTGACATCAGCCCATAAATTCAATTTCAGAAACATGAGCATGAATGAATATTTAGAGGAAGTATGGATTAGGTGTAACTGTCTGCTTAAAATTGATATGAGCGTAATTTACATCTCTTACTGCGAACAAGTTAAAATAGTTACTAATATTATTTTCTTTCATGATTCGTCCAAAAACTCTGAAACATATAAAGACAGACAGCAATCATCATAAATGACTCACCCCACAAATGATGAACAACATACAGGTCACCAATCTGGGAGAAGAACCCTCCCACTGCCTCATTGTTTTCCTGTCTGTGTTTGATTGCCCTTGCCCTGTAACAGGAGAGGTTACGTTCAGGAGGGAATTGCTCTCAGAGACGCATCTAATAATTCCTCAAACAGAAGGTCATGAACCTGATGTCACGTTTCAGGCAAGTGAAACTTGTCTTACCAGCGATTGCCCCACTCCAGCATGGTTCCTGGCTGAAAGACACAAGAGCAAAGACAGACAGCTTTAATTTAATTAATGCATGTCGATTATATTTTATATACGTCGGTAATTTCATCAGGAAACATGTCTTTCTATCTTGAGTCTACATGCAAGAACAAGTGAGGCACTGTTTGCTTTCTTTCCTGTGAATAAAGAAGTGACTCCCTCACTCAGTGACTCAGCTATGAAAAAATAGAAATTATGCAGCAGGGAGACTCAGAAAAAGTACATGAAGTCTCGGGTGAAAATACTGTTATTTTGCAGACAACAATCAATACCCGGCCATATTTGTGTCTGATTACTAGCAATCACAGTAGTAGAAGTGATTACAAATTTACCTTAACGGTTAAATCATTTCTTCATTTAATTTCAATGTGAATAGTGTGAATGCAAATGGTGAATAATCACAGTCATCAGGAAACAGTTCTCATTAGACTCATTACAGTCATGGGGAAAACAAACTACTTCCAGTGAGTCAATAGAACCACATTTAACTTGAACTAAGTTTCCTATGACACATTTTGTTTTCAATATTTTCAGTTTTTTAGAGGTTTGCAAACTTTTATTTCTGCACAGCTCTCTTAAGGCTCCAAAGCAGCACTGTAGTTAAACTTGGACTTTGCATGGATCACTGAAATGCCTTGCTCATTTCATTTCGAAGCCATTCTTTTGTAGATTTTTGTAGATCGTCCTGCATTGTCTTCATTAGGTAGTTTTCTGGTGTTCTCCAGAAAACTGCTTAAACCTTTCTTTTAAAGAAGAAGTCACAACTGCTGCCAACTAGTGCATCTAATCAGCAACATCTGGCTACAATTTTCCTTCTGAAACGCAATGGAAAATTAACATTTTATTTTAGTTTTCCACATCAAGCAGCAACCTGAAGGGACCAACACCAACACAAATTACCTTGAGCTTGTAGGTGCGAAGTTCATAGAGGTTTGGTCCTTTTCTTGGTAAAGGTTCATTCCAAAAGCTAAACTCCAGAAGAAGCTGATTTTGCCTTGAAATCAACATTTTAGCCCTCTCTTTCCGGAACTCCAAGTACTCCTAAAATGGTTGTTAATTTAAAAAAAAATAATAAAAAATGCATGAAAATGTAGACAAATGAAACAATTTGTTGGTCTGCTATAGTTGGAAAATAAAACTGCTTACATCATACCTTGTTGGCTCTTAATTTCTGCAGGCATTCAGTCAGAGCTGGATAGCCTCCTCTATATCGCCACAGATGCACTGAGCAACAAGAACAGCAGATGTCACTGTAGCCCTTCACTAAGGCACATCCCACCCACACAGCTGTGGCATACAAAACCTTCATCTCATTTCCAGCTCTCATTTTTTCTGAATGCTCCTAATGTACACCATAAACTGTAAATGATCATATGTAGGAAGAAAGACAATGGTTCGAGTCGTCAGGGGAAGTATCTGCGCTTCTGCAGGCTTGAGTCACACTCTGCCAAACAGATTATGATCAAAGTGAAGCCACTTCAAGTAAGTGTTTGAGACACTGAGACAGAAAAATGAATTTTCTCCTGCAGGATCTAGGATCAGTCCAACTTATCAGTCTTATAAGGTTTCTGTCAGTTCCCATTTAAGCTTTCATTTCAACTTACCAGCTTGATCCTGCTCTCCATACCAGGTATTCCAGCTTCCAACAACTTCACATGGGAAATCTTGATCCTGATGGAGTCTTCTTTGTACTTCAGCCCTACCATCAGCACAAAAATGATCAATAAACAGTATAAAACATATAATCTGTGTAGTTTTTTTGTGTGTTTATAAAGTATTGTTTAGATTATATATCAAAGCGAGTTACTCCACTTACTCAAATGCTTCTATTAAACACAATCTAATAATGTGCTGTCTTACTTAAGGCATATGAACATTATATTCTCCAAAAACTGAGAAAAAAAGAGTTAATTTTTACATTCTCAGCTCATTCTGTGTCAGACAAAATAAAACAAAAGACAAAAAAATAAGAATGTTTAAATTTCATCAGCCATCAGTGTAAGTATCAAGAGCAAACTAATTGGATATCGCAAAACATTGACAGTGTCTGTTATTATCTATCAGTCCTTAAGATGTTGACTTTTGTTTACAACCCAATTAATCAAAAGCGGCCAGAATAAACACAGGTTATTGGTTTACGATCTACTTCTACAAAACAGAAGCATGATTAATTCAAAGGGTCTGGACTCATCATGTTTTCATCATTTAAAACTCACCACTTAAAATATTTCCCCATTGCAAAAGTATTCAGAAGCCTTTAACTTGATTTCCATTTCGCAGTGTTATGACTACTAACTTCAATGCATTATTTAATGATAATTATAAAGTAAAAGAAAGAGGATAGGTGGATTTAATTTTTTGAAACGTAAAAATTTAAAACGTGTGTCGGGCCTTTTAATCTGATGACTAAGTCCTAGAATCCTATGCAACTAAAGAGCTTCAGTGGTCAGAAGTGCAGCTGTTCTATGAAGGTGTTAGAGTAGAGCTACTCAAATGCATGTTAAGATGGAACAGATTATCTAACCAAGAAAAATCAATGAGTCTGTCTGCAACAGATAGAATACATGCAAAGTTAACATTTGCATTCAGGTAAAACAAATATTTTCCAGTCAGATCTGTTTTTTTGTTCGCAATTTTAGGGTTTGGTGTTGATAAACACATGTTGCATGAATTTAACTAGCTGCAAGATTCACACGACATGAATGAGTCATCCCTACTCAAGAGGTTGAAAACAAAAATACGCTGCGCGGTGGGTTTCCTGTGGCAGTCAGTGTTGCATTAACAGTCCTTACTGTTGTGGGAAATTTTATTAAAAAAAAACTTCTCAGATTGAAAAAAAAATGGAGAAACTCAAAAGTTTAATTTTCCATCAGGAGGATGACTCCTAACATCCAGGCAGAATTACAACTGCATAGATGAAAGCATTTGTGAAAATAGCCCTGTCAAAGTTCAGACTAAAATCAAATTGAGAATATGTGGCAAAACATAAAAATCCAAGTCCATTGGAAATAGCTTGGGCTATTTCACCCAAAACACCTGAAGCTTTAATTGCAACAAAATCTGGTTTTACAAAATCTTGACTTAGATGTTTGAATATAAACGAATAATCCAAGAATTTAAAAACATTATGCAATATACTTCATACATTTATGTTGGTCTACCACAAAATTGCAGTGAAATGCTCTTAAGTTTGTGATTGTAACACATCAAACTGTGAAAAAGTTAATGGTCTGAATATTGTATGTTTCCCAAATATGTAAGGTTTTCATTCGCAAATATGTGACACTAAATTGATCCTGCTGATGGAGAGAATGTCCTGATAACCTTTTCATGGATGCAATGTCTGCGCCTGCTGTGGCTGCTCAGAAACATAATGCATCACGTCTAGTAATTCTTTCTGCAGGTGATTTGTCTTTTAAGGAACTTTTACAAGCAGACTTCCTTTAATGCTTAGACCTCATGCAACTACATAGACAACGAAAAAACTACTTTGCTATCTTCTTACTGTATTAACTTGCATTCGTAACTTTAAATATCCCAGTGCAAAGCAGCAATTCAGAAGAGTCCACAGTTTTCTCATTGCTGAGGCCGACATCTATACAGTCAGGCTATTTATAGATCTCTAAAATTTGCATCATCTGGCCTTTCCTAACAATCATTTGGAACCAAACCCTGTCACTAGCAAATAAGTCATTGAAACCTCAGTAAACATTATGCAGGAGTGCAAATCCGTTGCCATCTTCAACTGCTTCATAGCTCTCCATTCTTCAAAGGTTAAACTGACAACACAGTTTGACACAATATATTGAAAAAGTAAGAAAAAAAACTCCCATAAAATTTACGACAAAAAACACAAGAAGGAAAGCGAAGTTAACCCTATGTAGTCGTTGCCCGCCGTGCGGCGTACAAGCATGTGACGCATTTATAAAGCTTCGTAATAACATGGACGCATACCGAGTTTTCATTTCAACTCTGTTGGACAGCACGGACTTCAAACTTTATAAAAGTGGTGTTTTTATATTGGTTTTGTGGTTATTTACTTCAAAATAAAGCCAGAAATAAGATCGATCATTTCCGCCTTATTTTGTGGGGTCTAAATGTACCACATTTTGAAACGACCAATGAAAATGTGTTGACGGTCTGTTGCTAGGTAGAACGGAGACACGCAGAGAGAGACGGTGGGAGGGGGGGGGGACTTGGATATGGCAAGAGACTAGGGCGCAGCCATGCTGTGGATTTTACTAGGTTTTTTTAGACTATAAGTGTGTTGTTAGAGTTCGTGGTGTGTGCAGTGTTAGTAGTAGTTTTGCTAGCTATCGCTACATGGCTTCATAGCGAGCGCTGACGCACTGAGAAGAGAGCCTGCGCGCCAGGATGGCCATTTAGACCTCGTCTTCAAAGGGTTAATAAAAGTAATATTTCACTCCAGGTAACACTCACTCCAGGCTGTTGTACTCATCCAGGCACTCGGGTTTGACGTTGTGAACTTAACAAAAGAAGAAAAGGAAAGAGAGACGTAGTTATCAAAGCTTGTGTTTTCTTTTAAAATACACAATCAAATTCTCCAACAAAGTAATTTCACACCTCAATTCAGCAGACTTTATATACAAAGCTGTTTCACTGGCACAAGGTTATAGGCTATGGCTGATAGAAAGTTCCAATTGAAATCTCTGCACAGCATGATGTACGCTGCATAAAAGATCAAAGTTTGGGGAAAAATGGTAATTTCTTCTCAGGAGACAGACACAGTTATGATCTCAGACTCTAAAGAAAAGACTATTTTTTTCTGATGTCAAAAAAGGTATAAAATTGATACATCATGTTATCAACTTGGCAGCCGCCCGCTTCCTGTGCATATGTAATGAAAATTTCAGTTTGCTCTCAGGTCCCTGTGGTTCAGCACAGACTGGATTTAAACAAACATAATTTATTTAGCTGTTTTCTGTAGAGATATGTAGCTAAATAGACAAAAAACAGAAATCCTCTTTTTGTATTTTTCAAGTCTTTGAACCTCAGTAACCCCACATTTAAAGCCAATAACCCTTTCTTTGTATGTTAGTAAAATACCGTGTGCCTACACTGGATTTTATACAGGTTGCTGGTCTCTTTCTTTGACAGCAGGTTGGAGTGGGCATCTTTCCTCGCATCCACCTTGTGCACAAATAAGGAGCGGAACCAGCCTTTGTCGCTGCTTTCTGAAAACCTCCTACACAGAAACGAGATGAAAGAAGCAAACAAAAGCACAAAGAACAACCATTAACAGAGAAATGTTCAAATAATAAAAAAAAAAACACAACTCAAAGGATTGTAGGAAATGTCATGATACATGGGGTAAAATATAGTCATGCTGTTATCATCTGAAATGAAAAATATGCATAGTGTATCAGGGAGTGGGTTGAGTGCAGCATAAAACCTGTATTCACCCACAGATATGTGGGAAATATTTACTTAAATCCTGAGAAACTCAAATCAGATTCTGATTACTAGTAACAGTAAGTTTTGAATAAAAAGTATTTAGTTATACTTCTAGACCAATACTTTTTCAGGCTGAGGAGCCCTTAACCCATTTAACACTCAAGTCACGGACCACATAACCTAAATTGCCCCACAACATCTTACTATATAATGCAACCAGAAATGAAAATAGTAGTCTCTTAACTCACATATAGTTGTTTTCTGTTTTCACCCTACTGAGAAGAGTGGTGCTTTTTGGTAAATGTGACTGACCACGACAAAACCATGAACATGTCTACTTGGGCATTTTGAGTTATTTACAGATTCTGAAAGTGTGGAGTCTAAGCTTCTCAAACATAAAGAAATAAAAAAAAAACAGTTGTTGTTTATCGAGTGTTGTGAGCATTAATAATATTTAGGGTTATTTGTGATTTAGAAGCACAAAAATAGACATAAGTTGCTTTAGTAGAAATCATTTTCTGCACCAGTGAATATAAAAATAATCCATCCATTGATAGAAATGCTGATTTCTATCAATGGTATTTGTTTATTGTATTTAGTTAATTATTTTAATCATTTTTAATTAAATAAAAATAACAATAGCTGTAGACGTGTAAGCCGAGCATTATGAAAACCAAAGAACATGAACTGAGTCGAGTCCTACAGCATAGAGGCGTTCAAAGGAATCCAATCGCTAGTGAACGAGAAATAAACATTTTCAGCAGATGACTTAGCTTTCTCTAATAATATTAGTAGTCCTGGAGTTGTTTTCTTTCCATTGGTATCTGAAGCTTTTCTTTTGAGTGACTTAATTTTAAGCCAGTTTTCCATTATTATTTTCAACACAATCCTTTGGTAAGCTAGCTGTAGCGTCGCACGAGCCCACGTCAAGGCAAATAAACGGTCCTTTACATGCAGTACCCCGCGGACCACTAGGGGCGCCCGCGGACCACCAGTGGTCCGGGGACTAACGGTTGAGAAAGACTGTTCTAGACAGAAAATTTTTTAGATAAGTTAAAATGCACCATAAAACTATCACAAACTTTCCTTGCATTTGTATTTTGAAATGTTCTTAACGGAGTTAAATTACTACAAGTTCTATTTCTTGTAATACAAAAGAAATAGAAAAATAACAGTCTTGTAGCAGAAGTATAGCAATTATGTTTGGTTATGTTTTGAATAATGTCTTTGTTTGTATGTGACGTTATGCCGCCAAAAAATGCATATATCTGTTGAAGCTTCAAGTTTAATTGAAGGATGTGGCTAAATTGTCATTATCTGTGAATTACTTAATTTATCAAAAGTATAAAACACAATGTTTCAGTGAAATTAAAATTTCAAATTCAAATGTGAAGGTTTTTTTTTCTAATCCAGAATTAGAGCTCAAAGCAGCTCCCTCATGTTTAAAGTGTAGTGACATCAACAGTCACTAACCTTTTATTTTCATTTCCAGATGTATTTGCTTTAAATTAATTGCTGACATTAATTTTGTACATCTGTTGTACTGCATGTGCTGCTTATGTATGGAGGAATTTGTCTACTGTAATCCAAGAAATACATTAGTTTAACAAAATGTAAACTGTATTATGGGAAACACCCCAGTCTGAAAACTATATTATTCATCATGGTTACATAAGTTGTAGGTTTGTTTTTGGTGTTCTAAGAAAAAAATATATAGATAAATAAAGGTATATTGAAACTAAAAATCTAAATTTGTATTAGTACAAAATAATCATATCCAATATTAAACAGGCCTGCGACATTCAGCTTAACCTCCAATTCAGTGACTTTTGTTGCTTTTTATAAACTCATGATGTCTAAATCCTTTCAAAACTGCTTCAATTAACCTCAATTTCTGGCTTTTGCAAAGGATTTGAAATGTCACAGGAAGAGTGAGTGATATATCCCCCACACATATGGATTAGGGAGAGCTGGTTCCATTTTGTGCTTTTTGAAAGCCATCTGTTAGTGCACATTTTAAGGCTTTCTAAAACCCTCAAACTTTCAGGGTCAATGAAACTCCTCATTTAGTAACATTGTGGGCTGAAGACTTTAATTAGGAGGTGTGATTAACCACAAAACTTCCCATGAATTTTTCAACAAAAGCATAAGTTGTGTTTGAATTATATTAAAATCAGTCAGAGCGGAAATCAATGGTGATGGAGGCCCTAAATGTTCGTGTAGTGTGCTTTTGCAGTACAAGGTTCAGAGGTCTAGCAAATCATTAAAGCAGGTTAGCGAATGGGTCTTAGATAACATTTAGGACTTATTTTTAATAATACAAATTTATATTAATCTATAAGAGATTTTCAAAAGTCAAATACTGAAATAAAACTTGTGGATTTCTAACAGTGTGCTATTACAGTCTAAAGTCACAATTATAGTTTTGGGGTGATTTTCATGATCTTAACTCGAAACAAAGAAAAATAACATAAATGATGTTTCTGAATGGTAGCAGATTGATTTTGAAATGTATTAAGATGTTTTCCAACTTTTTACAAGTTCATGGTTTTGCTGACAAACTTAAAAATCTCCTGACTAACAGGGTACAATGTTCATCGTCCAGTTTGAAAGGATGAAAATAAACGTACCTGGAGGCTTGGTGTAAGTAGACAGAGCACCTGTACAGAACGTGTCCTGTTCTCTGCACAGATCTGCAGCTCACCGCCATGTTCCTCTGGAAAGCGAAACAGTTGTCTGACGCTCAAGCATTCCCTGCTGGTTAATGTTTACCTCTGGTACTGTGAGGTGAATTGACAGGTAATCAGATGGGTTGAAAACCGCTGATACGTTTTTGCCCTCCAGGGGTTAAAAACATGCGTGACTCTGTGAAGCAATAATCCAATGTGCAAACTCGACCTGCTGATAGGATCTGAGAGAGGTGCAGGTTGAGGCAAAGAGTAGGTTTACATGTAGATTGTGTACAGCTTGACATCTTGTAATTGCATCAGTTTTGATATTACTTTAAAAAAAAACATTTCGGAATCTCTAAAGGTGTTGACACACTTTGTGTGAAAGAAAAAAACATTTCCAAAAGACAATAGATTGTCATATAAATGCTAGCTTTTTATTCAATCTTTTGAAAGCAAAAGGTAAAAACTTCAAGTTTTAAAGGCCTTGCGTCACTAAGCAATCATGCAGCTGTTTTTTCCCCCCTTTTTAGATTCGTCATTTTTCACTCTTTCTGGCTGAAACGAGGCATTTTGACTGAGACGGTACAGAATAGTCAGGTTGTTACCCTTCATTCAGTTGCTGACATTGCCTGAATTTCAGCAGACAGCATTCAGCATGCCGACACATTCCAGAATTAATCCTCTTCCATCTTCTGTCAAATAGATAAATAAGTCACTGGAAGCTATGCAGAGTCATCATATTGTATCCACAGGCTTCACAGCTGCAGCAGATGTGTTTCATGACTCAGTGCAGGTTTTCTCTCCTGTGACTGTAAATTCACTTTGAGACTTTTGTTGGTAATCAAAGCTAAAATTTGTTATTTTCTGTGACTGCATTAGCCTAATAATTGTTATTTTCACCAAGGTTTGTCAATTACACCACAGTAAAAAGCCTGGAAACTGACAGTACCATCATTTTTTTAAGTCTTGTGACAGGCGATTGTGTATTTATCTTTTATCTTTTGATTAATCACATTATTATTAAAAATAATGACATTATAATTTAGTCAGAAAATAAACTGCAAGTTTCCTTGTGCGTTGTTCTTTTATGCTATTTAAAAAATTCATTTACCAACTTTTGTTATGAATGTAACTAAGACACGATATGAACAAACAGATCTGAAAAGGTCAAAACCACAGAGCAATCTTTGCAGTACAATAATTAGATCACTAATTGACCTAAAACTAACCTCATTTAGATTAGATTAATTTTATTCTGTCTTTTCTCTCTTTAAAGAATTAACTCAGTTATATGTTCAGTGGTATTTTCTTGAGTAATAGATTATTACATTACGCTATCCGTTCCCTTCGCTGTGTACCACAAATTTATTGAACAGTTATGTAATTTTTACACCTCATGTGATCCCCTAACATGACAAAACAAATTAAATACACAGCTTTTTAGTTGTATTTATCAGATATTTAAACAAAAATATCTGGCTTGGAGTTCATTTTTGGGGCGCCTGTGTGTGGGGGAGTTACATGCATCCAAAGTGACATTTTCCTATATCTACCACAGTTTGAGTTTGTCTTGCTGCTGTAAACAGATCTGTTACCTAACGACGGACAGTGGTTCTTTCATAGCTGGGTTTTTCTGTTAAACTAGTCACGCTGTACTTAAATCCTTTTTGTGCAACCCACTTTCACTTCTTTTCAAACACAATGCAGTGCTCTCTGATCCTCTCCATCATTTCTACCCACCTGCATTATATAACATCAAATCAGATCATATCATATCTAAAAAGAATCATCTTCAATACCTGCCCAATTTCAGAGACTTTGTGGATGATGCGCTTGGTGCACTGAAGAAATGCCATTTATTTCTTTCACCTTTATATTAAAGTGACTTGGGATTTAACTAGACATAATTATTTCAGTCTGAGGCATAGTTTGTAAAAGAAATTAATCTTCATAAAAATTACTTTTCTTTAAGATTTTATCCTTTTCATCTGGTACATTGAACAGACTTCCTAGCTTTTTGCTGGCAAATAAGTACAGCAATTACAGTAGCAATTTTCAAGATAATGCTTTTCTGAGTATGCCAAATGTGCCTCCGTGTTTTACTCTCAGCGTTGGGAATATTTCTTTCACTGCTTTATACAAGTCTTCGAAATCCTGGTTGACTGGTATGTCCTAGAAAGTGACAGATGTAATGATCGCTTCGTCTATTGCAACAAAGCCCGAAAAAAAGTGGTAAAATGTGTCACTTACTGAAAGTTTTAATGTCTCCATGACTGAATTTTGGTTTTCTTGAACAGACTGAAGGATCTCGTGGGACCCATCACTCCGGATGGGGCTTCTATTGATCTGGTCACAAACAGAAGCCATAAAGATTAGAATCAATAGTCTGGATTTGCACAAACATGCTTTTAATTACTTTTTATTGCTGGCAAAAAGCTAAATAAATTAACATTTTTACACTGCACTGACGGATAGAAACACATTTACTTTATATTGAATTGCTAATCTTTCAAATTGGACAGGTACTAACAGCACAATATAAGTTAAATTCTAGATGCTAGAAAATTGCTCACTTATAAAACACATATCTCTTGAGATACATATGAAACATATAGACATTTTTTGACATGCGAAACAACAAACACAAAATGCTTACTAAGCAATAAAAAGTAGCAGGTGAGTGTGATATAACTTGGTGGTAGCGATCATGTTACCTTTTCAAACCCAGCTGTGTAAACTGAAGCACTAACTTTGAAAATGCTGTTTATTAAGAGACCTAAAATGATGAACTTCCTCAACTTTCTACGCTCCCACAGGATTCTTTACTTGTCAACCTAACAAACTACAGCTAATTTTATTCATACTGCCATCATCTTGACTCAGATCTCTATTTCTATGTCGAGTTTTTTGTTTTATCTTTCATCCTTGTTCTCTTTTGGCTTTGCATTTGTCTCACAAACTGAGTTCATTCATTTAAAACCAAAGTATCATTTCATTTAAATCCATGCAGAACAACTTTTCCTACATCAATATGCAGGAAAAGATTCCCAACACAGGCGCGTAAACATAATCAATCACACTTGCTCATGCTTTTAACTGACTTCAGAGTCTTGACGGTTACTTTTCTTTCTCCCTGCGTGGCCATGACGCTTCAGCAGTGGTGCTGACATAAAAGCAAAGTACAGTGATCCGTTTATTTATCCCATTTTATCCACTGCTGCCCCCCGTTGCTTGTGAAGCCAGAACCAATCTCTTTTCAACAGCTTACATTCAGGAGTTTGATTGCCTTGTTTACTTTGAGGCCCGTGGCGAGGTGGATGGCTCCCTCAGGGGGTATTCGGTTGTTACTGTGGCATGACAAAAATACAGATAACAGAAAAAGGGTGTTGGAGTGTGATGGAGGTAATCATAAAGTGTTATCTTTTAAATTATATTATGCAGTCAAGTAGCAGCAACCGCCAGGAATTTGCAAAGAAAGCTTGGTTTTGTCGAAAAAGCAAAAACAAGAAATTTGTCTTTTCTGAATGCTCATTTTGAACTTGAACTTGTCTCTTGTGCTTCATCTGATTATCAATCCCAAGGAAAGCAAAGTTTCTGACCTAGCATTCAGCTCCTCCAGAACGTTGTTTTTCTTAATAGCCTGTCCTAAAGCTTCTCTGCCGAAGTCATTAAAAGACAGATCTATTCCTGTTAGGGTAACATTTTCCTGAAGAACTCACAGGAAAATAGTGACTTTGCTAGAAGAAGATATACCTTTAATTACCCAATACAAACATATCACAGAAATACAAACTGAACCTGAAATACAAGAATTTGTTGATCTAAGTAAACACTGAAAAGCATTTTGCACTTAAGATTTACACCAACATATTTTCTACCAAGGTTTTCTCAAAGTTTAAAAAACACAAGAGTGTTTCATTAAAATGTTTGTTTTTCTGACATTTGGAGTAAAAAATGGATATTGCTGTGCATGCTTGGTTTTAAAAACTGTATCCATGCACTTGTATACAAATGCAGAGGAATAAAAGCTCTCAGGGAAGTTTACTGATGAGAATCCACTTGACCTTCTTGGCCATTAGAAGAAAAAAGAAAGTACTTCTCACCATCTCTCCTCTCTCTCTGTCCCTCTTGCTATTTTTTTGGAGAAAACCTTTGCACTGTTGCTTAAGGAGAAGGAAGAAATAATTTTACACATTCCCCTTTGACATCAGGCACATTAAAAGCCTTAAAATGAAAGTAATATACCCTTAATGAGAACTTTGTTGTTTTTGAGCTTGCAGTTTCTTATAAAATCAGAAAAAGAATAACAGATTTATGCAATATTATTCTCCACTTCCAGGTCATATTACTTATTTCTTAGCAGAGTTTGAAAAGTAAAAACAAGATTTTCCAATTTTATTACCCCAAACCATCAGCTTCATCATTGCTCCTTTTTTTCAAATGCGGTTGCAGGCCAGAGTAAGTGATCTCAGACCCTGGTTCTCGGATAGAGAGCTGCCAAAGGTTTTCCCTAAGGAGAAGGGAATAAAAATTTAGTCAACAACAACTTGGCAAAATGAAAATATCAAAAAAATCAAAGAAATCTTTCAAATTCTTTGTCTTTGTCTGTACTCATATTGCCCACTGGCTACTTGTCTAAATTTTGCATGTTTATATCAATGTCTGTACAAATCTGAATAATCATGCAAATGGTTATTATATTAGTAAAGCTGGAATATATATTTGAATACTTTAGCAGCATTTTTAAATTATGTTTCTATTTTAAATAAAAGTAATTAAAGCAGTAAAACCACAGTATTTTCTTTTTACCTAAGGTTCTATACTGTGAGGCAGCTTTTCCCATTATTCTATTTTATTTCTTTGAACGAAGAAAAAAAGTTGTCATCATCCCATCAACAGAAGTATTTGAACATGTCTATGACTCACAAAAGAAGAAAAAAGCCCCACTTTAGACAGCCCATTATGTAAATATTTAAAATGCATTAAAACAATAACATAAATGCCACAGTATTCAACTTGGCCTCTCTGTCTCTTTATGGAAGAGACCTCTCCAGACTCCAGATGACGTCCTTTTGA